CGCATCTGGGGAATACTATGGCTTGGGTAGGCAACCACCAGGTGATGGGAAAGTTCCAAAAAGGAAGTGCCTCAAACTTATCCCGTTAGTTTAGCAATTAATGTAAGTAGAAGGAATCCCCTCAAACTGTGACATTTGATGCCTGTCCGGTCCTATCATGTGGGAATTTAGCAAACCAGAGGTGGCTATCACAGGCAGATAAATAGTTTGTACCGATACCTTCGACCTTTACAGTCATGTAGACCTCGAACCTTGTTGGAGCTGGGACTTGGCATGATGGACTACTTAGATTCAGGAACGGATGGCCAAACCCATGGACACTTTAACAGCTAAAATGCATCCATCTAAGGGTATTCCACTGAAAATTTGCCAGAACTTAAAGTGTGACCCCATGCTTTTAACCATTAACAGCCCCCTCACTGAAGATCAGGACTCAAGGGTGGTACCTGGAACATATGGATTAGGAGCATATGTTATAAGAACCAACCTAGTGGGACTACTGTCCCTTTAACCAGTTGATAACCTCATCTGCTGTCGGAGACCGAATCCGGCAAGTCCAGGGGTCCCTGAAGGATGGACGGTGTCAGCGAGAGAGAGTGAGAGAGCCCCGGAGATTCTTTCTGATCACCAGGCAGGCATCTCTGCTCTGACTGGGGCTCAACTTTAAGTGTTTTGGAGAGGGCACAGAAGTGGCATTTGCCTTAGACAATGATTTTTGACAAAAAACTTCTTTGATATGTAAGAATTTCCCAGAACATAGATTTGTAGAAGACTCATGCATAACCTTTATCAATAGCGATTGAGGTAGGGGATTTAGATGCTTATCTTATGGGGAAGGAAGTCTTCTTTAACATACCAGAAAATGTTTTTAGCATAAGAGGGTGAAGTTACTCCTCTGTGAGCAGGAGTCAAAAACAGGTCTTTCAGGAGATACCTTTGCTCTCATAATCACAAAAAGAAGTTCCTCAAAAGGTTCCTTCACAGGGAGTAGTCAGCATATACCAGGCCAGAAAATGCTCCAGGCAGAAACAAATGGGTGGGGGTAGATATTTGCCCTTAACACTAAATTAAGCTCTTTGCCTCAGAGCCAGACTCAAACACCCTTTATTATGTAAGTCTTGGATCTGCAAGACCCTTAGGAAGAGCCTTTTGACAATCATCTTTGGAAAGGCAAGGAAATGACTTTCCTTATGATCAATCTGTGTGGGGAATATCGGTCTGATCTGGAATATTGTGAGACCTGGTCAATACCAGCAGCCTCATTTACAACATGAGCCAGTAGTAGCAGAGGGGATACCAGTTTCCTTGCTGTGACTGCCATCCAGAGAGGCCGGTGCGGCTCCCGGCAATCTGTAGTATGCCTCAACCAACCACAGGTCCAAGAGGGCATTTAGTTTCTCCCACTAATGATCCAACGGTGAGCAAAGTTGAAATCAAAGACCTGACACTTGAGATTGGATATGGAAATGTTAATGTCTGGGTGGGATGTGTTTAATACTCTGTGCAGGTGCTTAACAAAAAGCAATTGTTATGCTTGCACTGCAGGAAGGCCACAGGGGCAAATAGTTCCATTTCTCTCTGGATGGGATACAAATCCTGCAGGAATGAGTTGGCTCTCTATCAGTCAAGGATGCTTGGGGAAATGAGACCTGAAGGATATTGTCATTGCTTTTCCATGCACTACAAATGTCTTCCTCCACAGGGATAAGTATTTACTCTTCCTGTCTCTCAAGTATGGGGGAACAATTCAACATACCTGTGGTATATTGACTGACTAGTATGCACATCCTAAATGCTACTGGTGAACAGACCCACAACTATTCTAACTTGCACATCCCACGAGCAGATGCTTGGTGGTACTGTGGGAAGAGGAACCTACTTAACCTGTTGCTGTCCAATTGGAGTGGAACTTGTGAATTAGTCCAATTGGCCATTTCTCTCACCTTGGTTTGTGGTAGGAACCCCTCCCTAAGGAGAAAGAAAAAAATGAAGAAGAGAGAAGAGAAAACTTCAAGGTCACCTAGATATGGGTCCAGCTGCCTACATCCCCCATGTTCTTATAAACTGAAACAACTTAATCAGACTGCATGTTTATGTATGTTACCATATATGGGAGACAAAGAAATAGAAAATGTATAAAAAAAACTATGCCATATGATGTGGGCCGCTCAGTTCTTTTGGGTACGAACCCACCTGAGCGATGCCGGTATGAATAAAGTTGCTTCCTGGAAAGAAAAGCCTCGGTGTCACAACTCTCTGAGGGAGAATCCTGCAACAGGTTGACATTCCATGAAATCGATATAGTGACATCCACCACAGAAACCAGAGGACTTTACAGGGATATTTTGATTCCAATGTGTACATTGACGCACTAGGACTCCCAACGGGGGTCTCCAGTGAATTGAAAACCAGGAATCAGATAGTTGCTGGATTTCAGTGATCACTCTACTGGTGGGTTACTATTGATAATAACGTGGACTAGATTAATTACAACTACTAAAATCAGCAAAGGTTTATCAATTTCACTAGGGCTTCACTCCAAGGAGTAGCCAGTAAGTTAGATGCTACCACTAGAATGGCATGGGAGAATAAGATAGCCTTAGACATGATGCTAGAAGAGAAAGAGGAAGTCTTTCTTTTGTGTTGTTAGGAGATCAGTGTTGTAGCTTTCTCCCCAACAACACTGCTCCAGATGGCACCATCACTAAAGCTTTGCCGGGACTAACAACTCTAGCCAATAAACTAGCATAAAACTCAGGGATCAGTGACCCATTTAGTAACTGATTAGAAGGATGGTTTGGTAAATGGAAAGGAAAGGTTGCTTCAATTCTAAACTCTCTAATAACTACAGTTGGAGTTCAAATGGCTATAAGGTGGCGCATCATCCCCTGTGTAAGGGGGCTAGTCCAAAGACTCATTGCTATAAATGAACAAATGTTTGTGCCTTATGCCCCAAAGGACCTATTATTATTGAAAGATAAACCTGACTATGAGGAGGAGAGCCAACACCTGCTAAACATGTTTGAGTGAGGCCTCAAAAATGAAGGAAATATAAATGAAAATGGAATCAACTTAGAAAAGAGAAGGGATTGTGAGAGGTAAGGGAGATGATTCATTTTTAGAAATCCCAAATAAAATCTGTGCTGTCTAGTTAACAATAGGTTTACAACTTATTGGAAATATGTATGTACCCCCCCCCCAACAATGGAGTCCCAAACCCTTAGACACTTCACTTCCTGGTTCTTCTTCACCTCTCCATTTAGTGGGCTTTGGAATGAACACCCACCAAACAACAAAGGAAGGAGGGACTGAAAGTCCCTACGTCACCTCAGGGAATGTACATTTGTTCCAATCAGACTACTTTTTGCCTTTCATGGGCATAGGTGATGTCTGGGTGAAGGTGTAACTTCTGTAATATTCAGCCAATGAGGAATCAGGGTAGGGACCTGCATGCTAGGGAATAAATTGTCTGCTGTGACCGCCCCAAGTGTGCCCGTCCCTCAGACACCCACTCTTGCAAGAACATTGATTAAAGCCTCACTTCACTGTGCTACTCTCCATGTCCCTTCTTTGATTGGGGTGGTGGACTTATTTCTCATACTACCTAAAATGAGTTATGGAATATATCTTGTTTTTATATTCCCCAGAACAATTATTTCCTCAAGCAAAGAATAACCGTATTACAGAATATTGAACATACTTTACCAGAGAGCTACTTGACTTCAAAGATTTTGTATTATTGGTTCCATTTATTTAAAAGTCATAAAACTATTTGAGATTTCTATATTTTTTGTGTGTCCATTCTTATATAGTTTACTAGGAATTGGCCAAATTGTCACAACTTTTCAAATTTATTACCATAAAATATTTTGTCTATTCTCTTAAAATAACATTTCACAGACACCTAAGTGGGATGTGGGGTGCCGACCCACACCCATGAATCATTATATGCTGATAAAACACTCAACAGTGATGTGCGGGCAACCAGGAGTTAAAGTTGGATGGGAGCCCACCCCTATTTGGTATCAAGACTCTCTTAACAAAGGAAAAATTTTTTATTTTTTAAACTTTATGTACCATTTAGGAAATGTTAGGAAAATGCTACAAAATGAACACTGCTTTCCCAGTCAGGCTGCTACTGTGGGAACACCTCGGGGCAAAGCATGCTGAGTGCCAGAAGCCACCTTCTCCTTCCCGTTTCTAAGTTTACAAATGCAACCAGAAGGGTAAGTCTGACACTGAGAATGTGCCTCCAACCTGAAGACAAAGGCAAAATGAGATTTGCTTTAAAACAATAATCCTAAATGTCATAGGTGAATATCTACAAATCATCCATTCTTCCTTCCCTTTACACAGCAGACACTATAACAAAATATACACCTATATTTTGTCACACACAGGTAACAGTGAGCTTCTTTATCTATGAAAAGGAAGGAAGAGTGTTCCAGACACCTCAAGTGTGATAATCCAAGGTTCACTCTTAAGATCTCAATTCCAAGTATGATTCTGTGGCCAGAATCTCCCCTAATCCAGGTTCAAGAGAATTGAAATGCCTCCTGCTGACAAGAACCAGTCAGGAGCTAGCTGGTGGCATGAGTAGGTGTCAGAATACATAATGGAGAAAATGTCACATATCCCATGGTGAGAGATGCCTGGTTGACCTCAGACCCCAAGCACCAGATGGAGCAAGAATCATAGACACCAAAGAACAGCAGAAAGGGCAGGGCAGGTGCTAGGAATGTGACTGAGCATTGTTGCACCAAAATGCTATTCCAAGTTACAGAAATGGCCCCTCTCCTTTTCATGCACACCTTTCCCATGAAGCCTCCCATGACCCCAAAATGACGTGAAAATAGGAGATGAAAAAAGCGTATGGACAAATGGTAGACATGAAGAGATCAGGTGTAAAGAAAAAGGACACAAAAGTCCATCTGGGTATAATCCTGGGTGGTCCCATCATCACTTTCCGTTAAGACTAGAGTATTACCCCAAGTACTGACCTGTGACGTCCAGGCGGAAGGACACCTTCTGGCCCCCCGCCTCGCAGCTGTACTCCCCGGCGTCCGCCTTCCCTGCCTGCTGCACCACCAGCCTCCTGCTGCAGCCCTTGGCCTCCACGTGCACTTTGGAGCTCGCACTCAGCTTCTTCCCGTCCTTGTACCATGTCACCTCCGTCTTGTCCTGGGCCACCTCGCAGTTCAGTGTGGCACTGGCCCCCGCCTTGGCTTGCACCTCACTGTGTGCTGGCTGCCCCTTGGCAAACATGGCTGCAGGCTCTGGAGACAGGGAGAGAAACATGGGGTCAGAGAAACTTGTAAGTCAGGAAGGCAGCTCTGGTGAGAGGAGCCCAAATAAGGAGGTAGAGGGTCAGAAACTTCTGTAGGCTCTCCACCAGCTGTGAGGCTTGGAGAAGCCCCCTGCCTTTCTCAGCAATGAGTAACCACAATCTATCTACACATTCTATCATTGTTCCATGTTATTGCTCCAGGTGGGGACACTGGAGACCTCCCCCTCCACAAGCTCCTCTAGGAGAGGATCTGAAGGGTCATGATGTACGCACACCCCAGCATTCCCAGATGATGCAGAATCTTTCCAAAGGACTGTCAGGGAAGTAGTTCGCACTCTTGCCTATCCTGTTCTGTCAACTGTTGGCAACCTGGTGGAACTGAAGTTGTACCTCCCTGTGTTTCCATTACTGATAATGCGATGCTCATTTTCTGATGTTTTTGGCCATTAGTGTGTGCTCTTTGTGATGCCACTGTTCAAGATTTGCCCCATTTCCAATACCACTTTCTTTATGTCTTTCTTGTATTCATTTTTAGGAGCCCTTCATTTATTTCAATGCTAAAGTATTTGGTCATTACATGTCTTGTTAAAATCTTCCCTATCTCTGTGTCTTGCATTTTCCCTCCTTCATCGTGTCTTCTGATCAAAGTTCTTAATACAGACTAACATATGAACTTGTTCTTTGTGATTAACACATTTATTAAGTCTTTTGTTACATTTAGGTCAGTAAATAGCCTGCATTACCTGCTAAGAGCTAATTGTTTTACCTTTTATACTGAGACCTCTACCCACCTAGAGTTGATGTGTGTATGTGTGTGTGTCTGTGTCTGTGTGGCCTGTTCTGAATATTGACATTTTTTTAAGTGTTAATTTTTCACAAGTCTCTTATTAAAGTCTAATCATTAATCTTTTGGATTTCTGAAATGTTATCTGTAAATTCCACATTTCCCCTCCTATTTTATACATTTGTCTTATTTTCTTCCTTATTATGCTGCCCACTGTTGGATAGAAAGCCTCCTTACCTTGTTTCCAATCACAAAGTCAGATCTTTCATTTTAAGGGTGATGCTAGCTGGTATTTCCTGTAGTACTGTTTTCCAAAGTAAGGAAGAACCCCTTTATCTCTAGTCAGTTAATAATTTTATATTACAAGATGATGTTAAATTTTATCAAACATTTTTATTCAGCATTTATCGAGATAACCACAACCTTTTTCTCTTTCAATTTGTTAATATCATGCACTGTTTTTGCTTTTTTAATGTTTTATTTATTTCTGAGAGAGAGAGAGAGGGAGAGAGAGAGAGTGAGCAGGGGAGGGTCAGAGAGAGAGGGAGATACAGAATCTGAAGCAAGCTCCAGGCTCTGAGCTACCTGTCAGCACAGAGTCCGACATGGGGCTCGAACCCACTAACTGTGAGATCAGGACCTAAGCGAAAGTCGGACACTTAACTGATTGAGCCACCCAGGAGCCCCATGTTTTTTTAATGTTTCTAATGTTAAAGCAACCAGACATTCTTGGGCTATGACTTCCATCATAGTGTATTGCCTGCTTCATGTGTCAGGTAACTTGGTTGGCTAATAACTTGTTTAAGATTTTAGTCTTGATATTCATAAGATACTGTCCTCTATTTTTTTTTAAATTTTTAAATGTTTATTTATTTTTAGAGAGAGAGAGAGACAGCATGAGCAGGGGAGGGGCAGAGAGAGAGGGAGACACAGAATCCAAAGCAGGGTCCAGGCTCTGAACTGTCAGTACAGAGGCCAATGCGGGGATCAAACCTATGAACTGTGAGATCATAACCTGAGCTGAAGTTGGACATTTAACCGACTGAGCCACTCAGGCACCCCTCTAACTTTTTACATGTTTCTTTATTTTTGAGGAAGAGAGAGAGAGAGAGAGAGAGGCAGACAGAGAGAGAGACACACACACATAGAATCTGAAGCACTGGCCTGTAATTTTAACTCTGCATGTTTTCCTCATAAGATTTCAACATCAATATTACACCATCTACATCTACATGAGTTGGAGAGTGTTCATCCTTTTTCTGTTCTCTAGAAGAATCTCCATGAAAATGGAAAAATGTCTTTCCAGGAATATTTGGTATAACTAATCAGTAGATCCACTGAGCATAGACTGTTTTCTATGAAAGTTTTTTTTTTCATTTCTGAATACATCTCTTTTTTAAATTATTTCCGAGAGAGAGAGATAGCATGAGCAGGGGAGGGTCAGAGAGAGAGGGAGATACAGAATCTGAAACAGGCTCCAGGCTCTGGGCTGGATGTCAGCACAGAGCCCAACACTGGGCTTGAACCCACGAACCGTGAGATCATGACCTGAGCCGAAATCAGACGCTCAACCGACTGAGCCACCCAGGTGCCCCTTTTCTGGGTACATTTCTTTAAAAGTTATAGGATTATTTGAGTTTTCTATTTCTCCTCATGTCAGTTTTGATATAGTTTTCTATCAAATTTTAAAAATTTCAAAATGTTTACTATGAAAAAAGTTTTCAAGTCCTCTTCAAATAATGTTTCACAAAGATAACTAGCATGTTTCTCTCTCTCTCTTTCTCCATTTATATATATATATATATATATATACACACACACACACACAAACCACTGAATACAAATACAATACCACACTGTTTTGTGGTGGCACCTAGAAGTCAAATGTGGGAACTTTACTGAACATTAAGACTCTCTTATCAAAAACAAAACAAATAACCCTCTTAACAAATGAAAATGAACATATTTCTCTACGAATCAGCCAAGGAAGCACAAATACACACTAATCACTACATAATGCAACAAAACAAATACCGGTACACCAGTCATGCTGCCATTACAGCAACTTGTCTTTAACAAGGTGTGCTGATACAACTTAAGCTATTCATTCCTCTCCATTTCCAAATTTATATATCAGACTCGAAAAGGAACTCTGATAAAGAATGTTTTAACTGAACACAAAAGATATGCTTTAAAAGGAATATCCTGTACCTCAGAGGTATGTGTCACAGGTACGTATCTACCAATTTCTGCTTTTTTATACTTTGCACAGATATTGCAACATGGAATGGATCTTGATGCTACTGCATACAGGTACAGAGAGCTTCTCTCACCACATGTGAGGAGGGAAGAGATTCACAGAACATCTAAACTTTGATAATACAAAGTCAGTCTGAGATATTTATAAATATGGATGAGTAGTTGAAATTTCCTCTTATCGTTGGTCAATGGAATCCATGTATCTGGCTACTGATAAACTGCCTGTGGTTCTGAGTGAGCAAACCTGGTAGCTGGCAGAACATCCAATAGGAGGAAATTTACACATCCACAGGTAATAGGCCCTTGGTCTACTTCAGACCCAAATACTAAGTAGACTCAGAGTTCCAGGCCACAAAGAAACTGGGTAGGTTCTAGGAACATGTAACTAAGCATTGGTGTGCTAAACACCACTGAAGATGGACTCAAGTGGTCCCCTTCCTTCTTACACATCTGTCCAATCCAGCCACCCTTGACCCTACCATGGGAGGAAAAACAGGAAGGTAGGAGGATGCAAGATGGAAAGTGATGGTGAGAACACTAGGGATGATCTGGCCTCAGAGTCAGTCCCATGCTCCCAAACAAGGCTAATTCACCACCCTAAAGATTACTGACCTGTGACATCCAGGTGGAAAGACACCTTCTGGCCCCCCGCCTCGCAGCTGTACTCCCCAGCGTCCGCCTTCCCCGCCTGCTGCACCACCAGCCTCCTGCTGCAGCCCTTGGCCTCCACGTGCACTCTGGAGCTGGCACTCAGCTTCTTCCCGTCCTTGTACCATGTCACCTCTGTCTTGTCCTGGGCCACCTCACAGCTCATCATGGCACTGGCCCCTGGCTTGGCCTGCACCTCACTGTGTGCTGGCTGCTCCTTGACAAACATGGTTGTGGGCTCTGAGGACAGGGAGGGACACACAAAGTCAAAGGGTAATTCAAGATGTAGCACTGGGGAACAAAGGAATAAATGGGAAGGTAGTGGAAACTTCTCCAGGCTCTGCACCAGCTGTGTGGCCTGGAGAAGCCTCACCACCTTCTCAGCAACAACTAACACAGTGTATTTATACATTCTACCACTGCTCCACGTGGGACCATACATTCCACTACTGCTCCATCTGGGCTGTTCCAGGTAAGGACTCTGAGTGACTTTCCTGTGCACACACTCCTCTGGGTGAGGGGTTGTCAGGTCATGATGTATGCACACCTAAACCTTCCCAGATGACGCAGAGTCTTGCACATGAATGTGCAGAGAGCATCTCACCCACAGTGAAAGACAGTCCTTAAAGCTCCACACTGTCACCTACTCTGTGTTGTCAACTCTTGAACTGGGGACAGTGGAGCTGTACCTCCCAGGGCTGTCTCTTACTTGATCCTGATGATTCACAAAGTGAATGACCTTTTACAATGTTTTTGGTTATTAATGCTTGCTCTTTTGCTAAAGGCTTTTGCCCAATTTTCAATAGCATTGCCTGTCCTTTCTATGCTTGTTTTTAGGGTCTTTATATATATATGAAGGTAGATCACTGGCAATTACGTGTGTTGTAAATATCCTCCACATCTATGTGGCTTGTCTTTTTCTATGCTATCTTCTGATGATTCAACATTTTTAGGTTTAATGTCCTCAAATACATCATATTTGTTTCATTGTGGTTCTGTTTAAGCAACATTTCCTAACCTTGAAACAATTAAAAACATCTGCATATCCATCTGAGAATGTATAGGGGTTTTCCTTCTCTGAGAACACTAACCTCCCAAGAGTTGATTGTGTGTGGTATGAGTTACTGGTCCAATCATTTTTCCATATGGTTAAATGGTCCCAGCACCATTTATTTAAAACCATGCTATCTTTACTTCTTACACAGTTCCACATTTAAAAACAACAACAACAACACAGGGGGAGAGGATGGCATCATCCATTCATGCATGGGTCAGTCTCTGAGATCACTACTCTGGTTCTTTGGTTGTTATATCTGTTCTGGCATCAAGACACCAGTTTCAATCACCGTATCTATAAGTTTTGATACCTGGTCCAGCAAATGCTCACCCTTTGCACTCCTTCAAGAGGTATATTGTCTGTGTGTGGCCTTTATGATCTGTTTGTCAATTTTCAAAGTCCCCATCACCACCACTAAAAAAGACCATTTGCTTGGATTTTTATTAGCATCAGGCACCCCTGTTTCTTCCATGGTTTTCTACCCATTTATTTCCATTTCTTGGCTGTCTCTCAGTAATGCATAATAATTTCCCCTCACAGAGCTACCCAGCACCTTCTTATCAAACTAGGAATGAAAAACATGATAGTCTTGATGCTCTTGTAACTATTAAAATTTCATTTTCTAAGTGTCTCTTGCCAGAACAGATAACAATATTTTCTGCATAATGACTTTTTACAGTTATCTTTCTCAACTTTCTAAGTCAAATAATTTAATTTTTGGATATATCATATCATCCATAAATTCTATTTTTTTCAAACTTCCTTTTACTTCATTTGCCCCTAAGTGTGCTGCATAGGGCTGGATAAAAGTGATGGTGGTTAGGCTCTTCAGGTAGTTCCCTCTCTCACAGATCCTTTGTGTCATCAGCTAGGTTTTCCACAGCGTCATTTACAAATGGAAAAAAGAATCATTCTATTTATAAATTGGCTAAGAATTTTATGTCATGAATTGATGTTACCTTTATCAAACATTTCTGGATTTATGTTAAATGTTATCAACTACTATATTCTGCGTTTATGGAGGTAATCACTTAAATTTCATATTCAGTCTGTTAATGCTTGGCTAAGAATTTTATGTCATGATTTGATGTTAATTTTATTAAACACTTCTTCTGATTTGTGATGTTAAATGGTATCAACTACTGTATTCTGCATTTATGGATAATCACTTCATTTTTTTTTCATTTAGTCTGCTAATTCCGTGCATTATACTGGTTTGCTAATATGTTCAGTGTTTAAAAAGCCTTGAATTCCTGGACTCTGACTTTCATCATGGTATACTATTTTTAAATACATTGCTAATTTACTTTCCTAATGCTTTGGTTAAGATTTTGACCTTGAAAATCCATAACAGACTGACTTAGGATTTGAATTTTTCATACTTTCCTTTTCAGATTTTGGTTATCAATATTATACTGTCACTGTAAAGTAAATCAGAAATATCTTCCTTTTCTCTTCTCTAGAAAAATCTCCAGGAATACACACTAAATTTTTTCCAGAACATTTCACATAATGTACCAGTGAGAAAGTGTACATGGTGTGGATTATTTATTACAGCTCCATTTGTTTAAAATGTTCTAGGACTATTTGAGGTGTTGAAACCTTCTTGTGTCACCTTTATCTAGTTTTCTAAGAATTTGGTCAATTTGTCAAACCTTTTCGTATGTCTTACCATAAAATAATTTGCCATATCTTCTGAAAATAACATTTTAAAAAGATACATGGTAGGCTTTTAGGTATCTGCACATACCCACAAATAATTTTCTGAGGATACAATACCAAATGGCCAGTGGCACCTAGAAGTCAATGTAGGACTGCAGCCCATTTTTATTTGTCATTAAGTCTCATAAGGAAAGGAAAATACATTTAGTTCTGACCCTTTTCTATGAACCAGCCAGAAAGAGACAGACACATAAGTCTCTATAAAATGGTATGAAACCCTGCTTTACCAGACAGTGGCTGATACACAGGACCTGGTCTTTAACAAAGTGTGCTGATACAGGATAAGCCACTTATTCCTTCCCATTTTCTAAATCTATGAATCAGACTCCAAGGGGAATTCTGACACAGAATGTGCTAAGAGAAGGGAAGCAAGATTTGCTTCAAACAGAGAATTCAGACTTCACATGTATCTATCACATATCTGTCAGCCCTCTGCTCTTGGTTTGCTTTGTGCAGACATTGCACAGAACGGGGATCTAGATTTTGCTACATAAAGATACACAGGTAACTTCTGTGTCCATGTGCAAGAAGGAAAGTGTGCCCCAGAACACCTAAAACTTTGATAATCCATAATTCTGTCTTGGGATAAATCCAAGTATGATTGGCTGGAAGAAATTTCTCCTTATCCTGGATTAATGAAATTCAAACATCTCTCCCTGGGGTAAAACAGCACATTGCTGGATGAGGGTACCTTGGAGATGCCAGGACATTCCGCAGAGGAAAATGCATGGGTCATGGCGAGAGACACCTGGTCTACCTCAGACTCCAAGTGCAGGGTACAGCCAGAGGCCCAGGCACCAAAGAACACCTGGGAAGTTCTGGGCAGATGCAGGGAACTTATAACTGCATTACTATGTGGGAACAGCACTTGGGGTTTCTGGGAGCACACTCTCCCTTCTGTACACACCCTTCTCACCCAACCTCCCTTGGCCCAGCCACAATTGCACAGCCATTGAGAGAATGGGATATGTGAAGACATGAGGTCTGCTGGGAAGAGTACCAAGGTCAGCTGCGGAGGTAAGCCAATCCCATCACCTCCACACAGGCTATAACAGTCCCACAAGAACTGACCTGTGACGTCCAGGCGGAAGGACACCTTCTGGCCCCCGGCCTCACAGCTGTACTCCCCGGCATCCGCCTTCCCTGCCTGCTGCACCACCAGCCTCCTGCTGCAGCCCTTGGCCTCCATGCACACTCTGGAGCTGGCACTCAGCTTCTTCCCGTCCTTGTACCATGTCACCTCCATCTTGTCCTGGGCTACGTCGCAGCTCAGAGTGGCGCTGGCCCCCAGCTTGGCCTGCACCTCACTGCATGCTGGCTGCCCCTTAGCAAACATGGCTGAGGGCTCTGGAGAAAAAGAGGGATATACAGGTTAAGAGACACAGAGATGTCACCAGCCTAGGTCACAGGGATGAAAGCGTCAGAGTTCAATAAATTTCCTACTTGGAGCAAATGCCATCACATACCCACTGGAGTACTGAGAGTGTGTTTGCCAACATATGTGTCCTGTCCTGGAGCCCAAGTGTGCATTTGGATGTGTCCTGAGTCAAGAGCAATTCCCAAGGCTGGTGCAAGGCTCTTTCAGCACCTGTCCCTGCTAGTTCATTGTCCTTCCCAAGTGACAATCAGCCCTTGTGGGCAGATGGGGTTGTTCACTCCTGTACCCCAGCACACTATGTGTCCACCACAGACTATCTTATCAAGGTATAAGTCCCATGTTAAATGCACTAATTCATTTGCACAGCCCAGAGAAGTTTGGTGTGACCATCCCCACATAGCCAAAACACCAACAAACAGAACACATCTATCTTCCCACTCACTACTGACCATCCCCAGAAGTAACCATCATCTTGACCTCCACCACCATCAATGACTTTTGCCTGGTCTTTGATTTCATATGAATGCATGATCCATTGGGTGTTCCTTGGGTCTATCTTCTTCCCCTTGACAGAATGTGAGATCTACCCATGCTGCTGCATGGATGGACAGTTTTCCGTTGTATGAACACTTTAGTTTGGGTTTCTTTATCTCTTGTGGCCCATCTGGGCTGTTTCCAATTTGGGGATATGATGAGTGAAACTGCTTTGAACAGTCTTGTGTGTCTCTCAGGGAACACACAGAACTGCATTTGGACACACATATGGCTGCATTTGGCTTTAATAGATATTTCCAAAGAGTTTTCAATAATGGTTGTGCCATCTTACTCTACCACTGGCAGTGTGTGAGAATTCAGATTCCCCACATCCTCACCAACACTTGAGATCATCGTTTTTAAAAAATTGTGTGTATCCCATTAAACTCAAGTGTGTACACCCAGAATCTCAGAGATTCCATGCTCTGAGCCCCCCAGAGACCGATAACCCTGAACAAAACTGCAAGGTGGCCTTAGGTCAGCATGGTCCTGGAACAAGCCAAAGTTTGGTTGTCCTCTCCCTGCCTAGCACAGGAAAGAGCAACCTTCTTTATAGAATAAGATAGCATCATCCACATAACAAGTTTTCTCATGCAATATCTGACAGTCAATAGAAACACTGCCGGTGTGCCAAGGACAGGAGTAAATAGAAAACCAAACAAAAAAAGTACAATATCAGATGATTGGTTATTACGGTTTTTCAGTCCAGGATATAGCCATGATTAATACAGTTTTAAAATTAAATTTAAAAATAGATCAAACATGAAAAATTTACTACAGACTCTGGAATCTATAAGAAATCAACAAATGGAAGTTATATCATTTGAAAATAGTAAACACACTATAAGTGGGTTGGACAGCACATTAGATATAGCAGAATAGAATACTGGGAAATTGGAAGGTAGATCAACAACATATCCAGAATAAAGCAGAGAGAGAAAAAGAACTAGGAGACAGAGAGAAAGATGCATACAAGACATGTGGGGAACATAAAAAAGTAAAATAAAATATAACAAGAGTTCTGACAAAGGAGAGCGATAGGACAGAACAGAGAAAGGCCAAGGATAGCCTATGGTTGATGAGTACATAAACCCCACACTCAAGATGATCTGCAGCCCCAACCAGTATGATACAAAGAAAACCACATCCAAGTTCATCAAAGTAAAATTGCTGAAATCCAAAGCCAATATCTTAAAAGGAAGAAAGGAAAAGAAAAGAGAATAGAAGGGAAGGGGAGGGCGGGGAGGAGAGGGGAGGAGAAGGAAAAGGAAAAGGAATAGGAAAGAAGAAAATAAACCCTTGAAAGAACATAAGAGTCTGACAGTTGATGTTCTAAGAGAAAATATGGAACCCAGAAGACAATGGAATGATATCTTTAAAATATGAAAATATATAAAATTGACTCTTAACAACACAGGGGTTAAGGGTACTGATCCACCATTCAGTAAAAAATTAATGTGTAACTTTTACTCCCCTAAAATTTAACTACTAGTAGCCTATTGTTGACTGGAAGCCTTTCTGATAATACAAACAGCCGATTAACACTCACTTTGTATGATATGTGTATTATAGACTATAGTCTTACAATGAAGTAGCTACAGAGAAGAAAGTGTTATTAAGAAGAGAAAACACATTTACATACTGTACTGTATTTATAGAAAAATCTGCATATAAGTGGACCTGTGCAAACCCTTGCTGGTCAAGAGTCCACTGTATTTACATATGTAACTTGATACCCAGACAAAATAGGCTTCAGAATTGAAGACAAAATAAATACATTTTCATATAAGCAAAAAACAAAACAAAACCAAACCTAAAGTACCAGAAGACCTAATAAAATAAATAGCCATGACAGAGTTCTTCAGGCAGAAAAAGTAAATAATCTCAGAATATTGGGCCCAAACCCTGGCTCTTCGGTTTTCTGGTTGTGTCAACTTTGGCAAGTTATAGAATTTTCTTAGCTCAGATTAAAATGAGAATATTCAGAATTCCTCCTCTGAGGTTGTTGTAATATTTGAACAAGTGAAAAGACAAGAAGCACTCATAAAATGCAGCCATGGGTATGTAATTAATAACTGCTGGCTGCTACGTGAAAGCATAGTGACAAAACAGGCCATTTGATGTCACCTGTGCATACCCCCTTCCCTAACAACTCACTTAAGGAGCATAAGACAGATGTCAAGGAACTCACCTGTGACGTCCAGGTGGAAGGACACCTTCTGGCCCCCCGCCTCGCAGCTGTACTCCCCGACATCCGCCTTCCCTGCCTGCTGCACCACCAGCCTCCTGCTGCAGCCCTTGGCCTCCACGTGCACTCTGGAGCTAGCACTCAGCTTCTTCCCGTCCTTGTACCATGTCACCTCTGTCTTGTCCTGGGCCATCTCGCAGCTCAGCGTGGCACTGGCCCCCACCTTGGTCTGCACCTCACTGCGTGCTGGCTGCCCCTTGGCAAACACCAATACAGGTTCTGGGGATAGGAAAGGACAATCAAATATCTAGAACTGAATGAGGGCTCACCTTCTGTATCTCAAAACCAGGATGCCTTGGGCACAAGCCTGCCTTACTCTTGGATCCCTCCACACAGAGAATTCCACACTCAGGAGATTTGTAAAGCAAAGAACAGGTTAGTTCTCAGAATCTGAAAACTCCAGGTCAAATATCTCCAGGTCAGTGTGTGTTGTTTCAGGATTTGGCATTTGCCATTTGTGATACCATAATTATCCTAACAAATGGAGGCATATCTTGCCACTTGCACATCAAAGCACAGGTATTTTCAGGGATAATTTCTTGTGCACTGTCACCAAGAGTGGGTGACACCCAAGTCATAAGAACACACACACACAATGACTTCTTTTTTTTTTTAAAGATGTTTTGTTTTTTTAAATGTTTTACTTATTTCTAGGAGAGAGAGAGAGAGAGAGACAGCATGAGCAGGGGAGGGTAGAGAGAGAGAGAGGGAGATACAGACTCTCAAATAGGCTCCAGGCTCTGAGCCGGCAGTCAGCACAGAGCCTGACGCGGGGCTCGAACCCACAAACCGCGAGATCATGACCTAAGCGAAAGTCGGACGCTTAACCGACTAAGCCACCCAGGCGCCCCCACACACAATGACTTCTAATACAGTCTGTGACTTCTAGCAAGCCAATCACCATCCCTATCCTTGGGACCTGATATGGTTTTTATTAAATTACTTATTTTGTTTCACATCACATTACTTCTAGGACCCACTTCATCACTCTAGACTAGATTTCCTTCATTTGACATATACCCATCAGCAATTTTTTCTAGCAAGGTCTTGTGAATAATAAATTCTCTTCATTTGCTTCCTGAAAACATTTTTATTTCATTCTGACTTTTGAATGATAGCCTAGCTGGATACAGAATTCTAGTTGACAGTATCTTCCTGCAGTACATTGGAGGTGATGCCTTCTTTGTGCTCTTCATTGCTGCTGACAAATCTGTAGGAAGGTTAACTGCCCTCCCATTAATCTTTATTTTTCTGTGGTTCATTATAATGTGTCTATCTGTGGGTTTATGTTCCCCACATTTCCCATGATCACTTGTGAATCATAAAGCTTAGGATTCACATCTTCAACCACTGCTAAAAATTATCTACATCTATGTGATTTCTTTCATTATTTCTTTTTTCTCATTCTCTCCAGTCTCTCCTAGAAGTCTTTTTGGATACACATGTGGCCTTCTACTTCTCTTCTCCACATCTGTCGTTATCTCTTATTGTTTTTATTTCTGTTTCATTCTGAGCAACTTCCCCAAATGTATCTTCCAATTCAGTGATTTTTCTTCAGCTATGTCTAATTTGCTATTTATCACTCCACTAAATTGTTTATAACAAATGTGTTTCCCATTCAAGAAGTTTCATTTGGTTCTTCTTTGGATCTGCCTGTTCTTTTCCTTACTATTTTACTTTTTTCTTACATTTACAAGTCTCCCATATAACTCATTTTAAGTATGCTTATTTCAGGTACTCTTTCAGATATCTGTTCTATCATCTGAGGTCCCCAGGTGGTCTAGCCTGATCTTTTCTGTGACTTCCACTTCTTCTCTATATAGAATTGTGCACAGTTTTTGGTCCCAGGGATCTGTGTCTGACTTACACCACCAGCTTGCCAGTAGGTGGGAGCAAATAGGAAGTGGAACAGAGACTAGCATACAAGGATGGAAATCTTGTAGAACAACATCATTAAAGAAAAGATGGACCAGTAAAGCACTCTTCCTAAAGCTCAGGGGGATCATGGGGCACTTGTCTGTCTGCCTTAGCCTAGGTGGGAAAAGTTCCCCTAAGAAATGGAAACCTGTTTCTCACTTGGGGTTTGGGTTTCAATTTATAACACTAGGGACTCCAGACTGAGAAGTTAACCTACAAATGGGGCTCCAGGCCAGTGATACTCCTGAAGCACTGGGCAGCAGGTATTAGGTGGGTTATCTCACCACTCAGGCCACACTTAATACTACTGGCTAAGGAACCCATGCTAGATGCACCAACTCATCACCCACTGCTTTAGTTTCTTAGCACCTTTTCCTTTCTAGCACCTGGAAATGTCCCTTTTTCACCTTGCCAGTCCAGACATTAACTTAACTTGACTTTGTTACATTCTTTCACACATTTTCAGATGTTTATGATGGGGGAGTTTTCACACTATAGAAGTCCACAGTACTTCTGGAACCCCAAATCCAGATGGGGTACTTATAACTATACATGAGATTATTCCATTTCATCTGCTAGGGACTTTCTGCTTCAGGAATGCCTCTCTACTTCCTCAACAGAAGTCAGTGTAACTCTTGGTTTTTGGCCTGCACATCAAAGCACTGGTATTTTTAGGGAGAATTCTGTACATGCTATCACCAAGAATGGGGAATATCCTTGAGTTATAAGATTTTTAATTGGATTCTTAATATTTTTTATAATGCACATAGCCAAAGTACAAATTGTTCTATTTTATGCCTTAAAAATATTTTTCATGGACAAAAAGGTAAAGCAGCTGGCTGCCTTAACCTACCTTTTCTCAGTGACCTGATACCACTTGGGACAGGTGGCTGGATGGAAGGCAGTGGTGAGGATCCAAAAATACATGCAGTGGCTAGCATGGTCTGTGGTCAATCTCCATGTTTGGTTCTCTCTCATGTCCGGGCCCCTCTCTCATGGTCAATCTTTCCTTGGTTCTCTCTCATGCCCGGGCCCCTCCCTACATAATCCCAAGCTCCCCAGTGTCCCAGGGGGAGGTCCCATCATCATCCACTTCTTTTCCTAGTCCCTCCCACCACAAACATGCCTACAGATCCTAAATCTCCCTCCCAGACCAGCGTCAGCTAAGTACCATGCCCAGATAGCTGATCACCCCCTGGATATCCTAGGCTAGCTTGTCACCTACTTCTTCCAGCAAATCTGCTCCTGTCTGCCTGCCAGGTCTCAGATGGTGACCCCTCGATCTATATGTTCACACAAGGGTGTAAGATTCATCTATGTCTCCTGCTTCTCAGTCCACTCCCACATGATCACCGATTCATGTATTCATCATCCCTCTCTGTCCCCTCAACCACAGGCTCTGTTTGACTGGACATGTCCAGAAGCAAAACCTCTGCAGTAAGATGTCCTTGGGGACTAGATGGGTTAAGTGGAGTCTGCATGCTTCTTGTGGATGCGATGACCACCTGAGCTCCTGCCACATCTGCCCTGCCAGCCAACAACAGCTTTGCTTTTGGAATCATGGCCTCTCTGTCATTCCTCCACCCGTGAGGCTATCACCAGACAAGTCCTCACAAACACTTCCACGTGAAAGCAGAGAACACCTAACCACACAACCAACTGTCACCCTTAGCCACAGTCAGCTGGGCACACAACTTTCAGACTGTATGATGAGGCACCTTCCACTCACTTTGTGACCCCAGACTCAGCTGCATCCCCAAGGTGGGCTCGCATCAGATCTCCATTATTTCTGATATTCATTTCAGAGGAGTCCTCACAGACTAATCTTAAAGGAAATTGTGTCTCTTTCATATGCATACCATGAAATTATTCCTGATCACACTGTGTGTGTGTGTGCATGTATGTATGCCTGTGTGTGTATATGTGTGTCTGTGTGTATATATGTAGCAGAGTATATATTTATGGTTGTATGAGCATGTATATGTATATGCATATGCATGTCTTTGTATGTGTGCTTAAATGTGTATGTGTATATGTCAATGCATGTGTTTAAATGTGCTTGTATGAGGACGCCTGGGTGGCTCCGTCAGTTAAGCATCAGACCTCAGCAAAGGTCATGATCTTGTGGTTTGTGGGTTTGAGTCCCACATCAGGCTCTGTGCTGACAGCTTGGAGCCTGGGGCCTGCTTCAGACTCCTTGCCCTTCCCCAAATCTGTCTCTCTCTCTCTTAAACTGAAAAAAAAAAGTGCATGTATGTAATGTACATGTATGTATGTTTGTCTGTATATATGTTTATGAGTGTGTATGTGCATTGAAATGTATGTGTGAGTATAAATATATCTATGCATGTATGTGTGTTGTGAGCATGTATATGTACTTATGTGCATGTGTGCATGTATGAGCATGTATGTGTTTAAATGTGCACACATGCATAAGTGTGTATGTGTGTGTTTGAGATTGCCTGTCACTGTCTGTGCCCAGTAAGAAGTATGTGGGAGCCCTGCATGATTACTTTGATCCCACAGCTGAGCCCACACCATGAGGCCCCCAGCTACAGTGTTTTGCCTTCAAAATTCACCCTAGTGAATTACAAATATCCCTGCAAGGATGCTTAGGATTTGCCCCACACTAGAAATGTCAAAGTTTGGTTCCTCTACATAGTTACCAAAAATTAAGACCCATAGTTTTTTGGGTGTGGAGTTTGGTGAGTTCCTTATAGATTTTGGATAATGTGCAGCAACATGGATGGAACTGAAGGGTATTATGCTAAATGAAATAAGTCAGTCAGAGAAAGAGAGACACGATATGTTCTCACTCATATGTGGATCTTGAGAAACTTAACAGAAGACCATGGGGGAGGGGAAGGGGAAAATAAAAAGTTACATAGAAGGAGGAAGGCAAACCATAAGAGACTCTTAAATACTGAGGGTTATGGGGAATGGGAGAGAGGGGAAAGTCAGTGATGGGCATTGAGGAGGGCGCTTGTTGGGATGAGCACTGGGTGTTGTATGGAAATCAATTCGACAATAAATTATCTTTTTTAAAAACCCATATTTGTAAAAAACACCTTTGCTTGGCCCCAGTTCTGGGCAGAAATACTCCATCCTGTCTCAGTCACCAAATGAAGCCACAGGGCCATGGGAACAGCCGTCTGAAGAGTCTCACAGTAAGCAGCAGCAGGCAGATTGGAGAGAAAAAACAGAATTCAAAGTCCACCAAACCAGAAGTGAGTCTACCTTTTCCCCCTTGTCTGTACTCAAGGCAGCTCAACATCCAAAAGCAGGGCCCTATCCCTCTCCCA